AATCCTCCTAACACCAAGGCTAAGTTTTGATTGATCATGATGTTTTCTGTGATTACCAAGTGCTTCAAAGAGCATTGGAACTTGCTTTGCTTCTGAACGGGATTGGGTTTTGACAGGTTGTTATGTCTTCCATGGCGATTCAACCTTGGAGAGCGCATCAACGACATGGAGCCCTTCCTTTCACCTTAGAGATTCCTTCTTTGCTTCAACTAGTCTTGAAACCTCTCAGGGACAAAGAGTCTCTTTGATTCACTAATGACTTCGGATTATTTGGTTTTGTTTAAGTATTTCTGAGCATAGTTTTATGTCTTGGGTTACCATTCATAACAGGCTATCCATCAAAGATCGAATGTTGAAGTGGGGATATTCATGTTAACCCTGTTTGCATGATTCATAATGCTGCTAACAAATCTAGGTATCGCTTAAACTTTCAGCTGTAAGCTTCTCGACAGAAGTCTAGAAATAGATTTCGGTACTTTCTAGTATCTCCAAGCAAGTAATATCATGGAAGGAAGAACTTCAATGAGCGATCCTTCATTTCAAAGCAATCCGTATCATCCGTTTTATTGAAAATTGCTTGGAATGCATGATATTATCATGTTTGGACGGCCGAGAATGACAAGAGTTTGGGATAGTTCCTCCGGATTTCGCTTTCGAGTCCATTAGTAGAGACGTTAAATTCATATTGTTATCTGTAAATATTTCAATGAAAATGGTGACCGATTCTTTGAGAGTTTACGTATTAGATTTTGTGCGTATAAATTCTTTCCCTACCAAAAACCAAACGAAGGAGCTTGCAATCATTGCGTACCCTGAATTTGGCCAAAACACGAGAAAGGACACGTTAGACCGCGTGATACGCCAAGAAAATCACTTAGACGTGGGAAAGCACGGACAGATGGTCCATTTGCAGCAAATTGTCGAATGAAAACAAGGTGGGTCAATCGTTCATGAATCAGCTCAATGATACCCACGATTTTGTCGTTTTGCCATGACATACGCAACTTTGATTAGAGGTGACCACTTTCAGATTGGATTGATTTCACCTTGAAATTAGAAACCGGATCATAAGACTAGTTCTCGATTTGTGGAATCGGGAACCGGCCATATCTCCTATTTTCTACAAGACTGCATGTTACTACACGAGTGATGTTAATAAAATAAGCTCGTGATAAGCTATATACATCAGAGGTGTCGAGCTGCGAGGGAGGCGTGAACGTTGCATGACCGAGACTAAGAGAAGTGAGAGTGAGAGTTGTGAGCGACAAGCGTGCGTGACCGAGCCCGAATGAAAAAAAGAATGTGAATTAGGATTTTGGAATAATAAGAATTAAAAGAAAAAATCGTTCCGGTCAGGGTGGTCCAGATGGGTGGATTCACACTCGGAAGCGGGGACCGGACCGCTATTTACCGGTTCCAAAATTTTAGGAATATGGAACTGTCCGGTTCTTTCGCTCACCCTTAACCCCGATCCACCTTCCAAATCCGAATTTTCTCGTTTCGTTAATTTTTTTTTTTGCGCAATCCTCGCTCCGAATTTACTTTCACGAATCGCGCAATCTCCGGACCTAGTTTTAGTTTGTGTAATAACTATAAAACAAAATTATCAATCAACATCATTTTTTTCAAGAACAATTGCTGTATCAAGATACATTGAATCGCGGCCAAGATTACGTGACAATGTAATGAACGAACGAACTCCTTCCGGAGTTTCTACTTATCATATTGACTTTTCCGGCCCCCGCTAATTGCCACATCCGCCCACAATGGCCCTACGTCGTTGGGTCAACAATCCTTAGATGTTCCTTTTTCAATACGTTTCTTATGAATTCACAATGAATTGGGACAAATGGGGGACGGGGACACCTGTGCGGATGTGGATAAGCATAGACATGGACCAGGACCCGGTCAATAGAAAAATGTGTAGCGAGCAGGACCAATCATGCTTCTAGCCCGCTCCTGTCATCAATTCACTACAGAAAAAACCTTTCGTACTTTGTCGGGGACATGATCTCGACCCTATTCGCCCTTCACTTTCGTGCGCCATCGCGTCCTCACGTCACTCGATATGAACGGCGTAGGATATATCTCGTCCAATTCATGCTCCAAGGAAGAAGGGGAAACGAAGGAAGGAAAAAAACCCGCCTTTTTACCCGATGAAGACGGACTCGACGCATGCGAACATGATCCACATTTACCGACTGATTAGGAGCGGTTATCGAGTGGCTTGTTTGCATTTGAGCCCCACTCATGTCCACTCGTCATGTCAAATGAGTCTCACGTGAGATTTATCGTAGGTTCTACCTAGAATCCGTACCCTATCATGTTAAGACCGGTTCCCTAATTTAGAGAATTTAGGAAAATTGTCAATAAGTTCCGGAGTCTACCCGATAAGCGGTCAATTTTTTTTTTTTGTTTCAAGTGGACGCAACAACTCATAAAAGATGAAGACGCAAAATAAAATAAATAATAAAAAGTTTAAAAAAAAAAAGCGTAACATAAAAAGGTTCCCGGTTCGTTTCTTACCCAGGAACTAGGAACCGAATTGCATAGCACCGATTTCGCTTTTTTTTTAGAATCGGGAACCAAACCAATAACCGTGGGAACCTAGAAACGAATCCGGTTTCCAGTTTTACCCTGAATGCATGCTCATCTCTACTTTTATCATATTCAACGGTGCATGCGAGCCCGGTAGACATGCACTCGGGATCCCATGTACGTTCTTCAAACCAAGTGATCCCGGTATGGGCCGCCTCGTAAACTTCTCAGCTTGGATTTGAATTCAACATATCGCGTCGGCCGGAGCCTTCGGCAGCCAATTTCGCGGATCTCATAACTCAGCGTCCAAATCTGAATAAGTATCTACCTCCCAAACTGATCGTAGGTTCATGAATCAAGTGCAGCTGAGAATGCTTTCCCTTTCTTCGGGTCTTCAAGAGCAACCCGCACGCCAAGGAAGGTAGAAGATGGGATAACGATGAGGAGAGTCTGAAGACGGAAGACGATGGCCGTGCTTCTGCTTTGACTTGCCATTTGAAGAAACGAGTTCCACGGGGAATTTACACGACTTTTCTCATTATTAGTTTAACTACGTTTTCCATCTCCATTTGTCAAGTGGTCACAGATTTGTTAGGGCCGTACTTCAACTCTTAGTACGACTTTATCTTGGGAAAAAACCCGGACATACTGCATTTATTCCAATTCGATCATAAATATTTCAAGTTGATTATTTTTTTATCGGTTGAAATTCTAAAATTTAGTCATAAACCTTTTTTCACGATTTACCATTTCGTCATAGACCTTTTAATTGTGCCATTGTAGTCCTAAACTTTTTGAAAATTTATCGATTTAGTCCTAAGCGATTTGTCAATTTAATCATCCCGGCCAATTTTGCCGATAGGGGCGACAGCCTCATCCAAATTAGGCAAGGGTCGCCGGCCCAGGGTTTATGATTAAATTGGCAAATCGTCAAAAGGTGTATGACTAAATTGATATAATTGAAAGTTTTAGGACAAATTGGCAAATCGTCAAAAGATTTTTGACTAAATTGGCACAATTGAAAGATTTATGATTAATTGACAAATGGTCAAAATATTTAGAATTTCTTTGGTAATTTCTGCCTTTATCTTGTGGGGGGCACATACTCAAAAATCGAACATATCACTCCGCTCATTTATATTCATGTCATTGATTGTATAAGCGCTTAAAAGGACGAGTAGATAAATACACGAGCTTGAGTACAAAATTTTCATTTTTTTTTTCAGAAATCCACATCAAATGAGAGAACAGTTTTATAAAAGAAACTATAACAGTTAAGCTAAATGATTATATTAAATTGAACCCGATTTAATTGGTGGATTACGAGTTATGAACATCAATCACATACAACATTAGCTAAATATTAATGTCGGTAATGCCTGTAAATAGAATCCACCAATGAAAAGGGCAGTTCGAGGACACCAGTGAAAATCAGTTAAAACTGGAGAATTCGTAACATCGCATACGAGATAACACTAGTAAAATAAGACTACATTTGTTTTTTTTTTTTTCCATTTTCATGCTCAATCAATAGTTGTTAAATATTAATTACACATAAGACAACTAATTTCAGCCTTTTTTCCTAAAATGCCAGTCCTTACCTGACCTCGATCAAGAATTAGCTGGAGTGAACAAAGTTACTCATCAATTTCCCATCCAGATTAAAGAAATGGAGGCAATGTTCAATTCAAATACTTCCCATGTTCACACCTTTCGGCACACCATTATAATAAATTGCAGACCTTATCTTCATCCTCGAATCATTTAATAAATTAATTGGATTTGCAGCGCAAAAGCACACAAGTTTTCAAAGGGTTTTGATGGCCCAAGCAATTGCGGCTGCCATCATAAAAAGATGTTCATCTTATCCGCAATTAAAATACACAGGTCAAATTAGTCCAAACCCACCTAAAAATACTTATCTCGACTTTCATAATTCCATTATTCGGTATCGTCGAGGCTCACGAATCGCAGAACACGATGTTCCTGTCCACCCACTTCGATCGGAGCCAAATACTATCTGTTTTTGAAAGAAAGTAAAGATAAAAATTATTAATATTGACCACCCGCCTGGGTAGTGCTGCTGGAGCGCGCACTCTTCCTCTCGCAAAAGGTTGAGTGTTCGAATCCCGGGTGCCGCAGGGTGACTTAACCGGTGCACGTGTGTGGTAGCTAGCACGTGTAGCCCCAAAAAAATTATTAATATTGGTAAATAGATAGGGATCCTGTTATTCGAAAGTACTTATAAATTTCTCAAAATGTACAGTACGATTACACAGCAATTACATATGTTCACACAGCAATTACATATGTTTTTTTTTTTTGTTTCTTCTTCTTGCAAGGAAGATTCCAAAAGCATTTCCTCAAGTCAATCTCCACCTATCCACATAGATAAACAATTCATTAAATACCTGGATAAAATCTTAGAAGGAGGCAGATAAGAACTTATCCGCTTCCCTTTAAATTCTCCCTCCAGGAAGCTCTTCCAACCCTCCCACCACCCTGGCCCAAGAAAAAACTCCTCCTGAATTCTTGCCTGCCTATCTTGTTCAAACCTTCTCTGCACAAACCTCAATCTGTTAAGATCTTTCCAAGATGGTCTTGTGACAATCTTTAGAATCACAATGAATTTATAGCTCTCTGCGCGTGTCATGAGCTCAATCACCACTTTCTCTCTAAATCTCCTGTCTCATTCAGTCTCGGTTGTGCTGCTATATTGGTTCTATGTGTTTTCCTGAACCTGATCTCTCCTAAACAAGTTGCCTTCCATGTAAATTTGTGTCTCACCACAATCACCAATTTGTCTTGGCTTTTCACTCGCTACTGGATTGATTCATTTGACCAAAGAGCCCCACAAAGTAGCGAACCTGAAGGATGATGTCCCTAGCACAAGGTAGCTCAGGGTCCGAAGCAGATGCCAGGTACCTGGGGACGGACGAGAAGAAGAGGCGGCGGATGCAATCGAACCGGGAGTCGGCGAGGCGGTCGAGGATGAGGAAGCAGAAGCACCTCGAGGACCTGACGAGGGAGATCGGCGAGCTGGAGAGAGAGAACCGTGAGATCGTCAAGGCGTACAATGCCAAGGCGAAGGCGCACCTCGGCCTCCAATCGGAGAATGACGCCCTGCTTGACGAGAAGGCGGCGCTGATGGATCACCTGAACGGTATGGAATCGATCATTGGCAATTTCAACAAGAACGGGCCGTGCCAAAGGTTCGGTTCCGGAGTCCAAGAGCCGTGGCTGGTCCACAGCCCGTCGCAACAGATCATGGCATCTGCTAGCATGTCTAGGATTTAGGTGACGTCTAAGTGGTGTCTGTAACTGCTGCCCGTCCCAGTACAACTCATTGTTAGGCCCACCTTGTCTGTCTGTCTGTCTGTCTGTCTGTCAATGTTGCTCATTCCTTCATTGCTCTTGATTGTGCGTGTGAATGAAAGATGGGATGGTTTATTTGTGCTAATATTTGACTGCATCGGACGCAGCATGCTGCTTTGTGCTATCTTTCGAGCTAAACTACACGATTCCTCCCCCAAGAAACTGACCTAACTGGAAAATGGTTAACGATGACATCCAGTTTCTTGGAGAGCTAAACTATATGCGAATTGATCTTGAATCATTACCAGGTTGACGATTGATGAATTAGCATACTTCTAATCAGACATTTTGAACCCGTATCCTTCAGCGCCACCAGCACAAACAAGGTACTTCATCGCCAAAGCAATACCAAAATTGATCTAAAATCATCCGCCTGCTTTGTGCACATTCCAGGACCTAATTTCAAGAACCTAGGCTGATGTTTTTCTTTTTCTTCAACTGAGAAGCAATACCAACCGAAATTTTCTGTGTTTTGATTGTATTATGCGTTCTGTAACTTCTTTCAGGAAGACAGCTCATGCCGATAGACAGTTTCGATTGTCTGAAAGGCAGCAATTGGGTTTTGTACTTCGACTAGCCTTTATAACCGACGATGGTCCAGAGACCTGTTGCAGTCCAGATTATGTAATCGTCCAAATCTGACATTGACGTGTTTAATACGACATTGAGAGCTAACAGAGCAAGTTCAGAAGGACAAATGTCGAGGGTGCTCATAACACTATTACCCCAAATCTCATCTTGTAAATGACACTTGGAACTTTTCTAGAATCCTCCAGGTTCTAGCACAATCTCTTGAGATATTTCAGAATAAGAAATTGCACATAAATGGTCAGTATTATGGCACTTGAAAATGACTGAAGCTCTGAAAGTATAATAGGGTCTGCAAAATCTGGCTATGAACTTGTCACAGCTAGAATTACTTTGCTGAACTATGCATCTTCTTGCGAGTATGTGATCCTACTCGCTCAAGCTCAAGTGTGGTTGATGTACATTTCATATAGGATAATACAACGGCTCTCCTGATGGTAACCCGACCAAAGGAACTTCCTACTAATGCACACTTAAGAGAAGAAATGGGTGTTTCAGAGTGAATGGACATGCTGTTGTGTTCCCACAATTTATATACGTCACTGCAGGTCAGTTCGAGTTTAATATTATCGAAAGTCAGAGGAAACAGAAACAGAACTGCAAACAAATGATTGAAATTTGGCAATGTCTAGTGACATATCGCCCTAGTGCATTGCTAATCGTCGTCTGAGATTCCATACCTGCCACCTTGTAAGAACGCTAGTTACATTTGCAGCGACCTATTTCACTTGACACACTGGATCTCAACTGAAAAGGTTTAGTTTAGGATGAATTAGTACAACGAACGTTTTGAAACTAACAAGAACAGCACGAACATTGCTATTCGGTAGCTGACGAAGCCCCACTTTGAAGGAAATCATTGGCACAGAAGGTAACTAGAAAGTTAATACTTTCAAGCACACAGTTGACTGCAATTCTCATCAGATAAAATAGACATTCTAGTACAGGACTCAAGCCAAAAGATGATATGCAGCAACCGAATTCCCAGGCAGGATGTACAATTGCGCTGAGTTTGTAAATTCCCAGATCCTGAAATTATTTCCTAACAGCTAGTTTTTTTTTGTTTGTTTTACCCCGATTCACATCATAGGCATGAATGAAGTGCATCATATCTCAACACAGTAGAAGCACGCCTCAAATAAAGTCTACACAAAATGACAGGACTTTAAGAGGAATGGATGATGGTTTCATCATCTCTCTTCCCATATTACAAATTTACAATCAATGCCAAGAAAAATCCAATTGGTTTTTTGGACACTAATGAGTGCGAGATTCTGAGAAATGTTCAGATTGGTCCCTCTACAATCAGGTGAACTTCAAGATGGAAAGAGAATGCACCGGTGTGCCCTTCCACCCGACAAGTAGACATTTTCCATTCATATTGAGCGTGCAGAACCTCCCGCAGCTGAACTTTTTCATGACCAAGTTTGCTTGGTACAAAGATGAACTGCTCAGTTCCACCTCCATCATGCCAAATCGGGCGAAAAAGACCCTCCAAACATCGACCTTCACATGTCGGACCGTCCGTTCCTCACCTTCGGTGGCTAGAATGTTCTTAACCCCTTGGCCAAAGTAAATCGATTCGATGGTCATCCTATTGAAATCTTCCTGACTCATGGAAGCTTCGAGGCAGTCAAAGTATGCACCGTAAGAGAAGAGCGACTCGATGAAACGGTTCGCAAAGTTTGGTGAATTGTGGTTCGCCTCGACTTCGGCAACCACCATTACACGTGGATTGGTCCTTCTAATTACTTTCATCAATAATTCAAGACGGTTAGGCTGCGGTATCAAGGTCTGTAAGTAGTACTGAGAGAAGATGACCACCGCTTCCTCGGTATCAATCTCGAAAAGTTCTTCCTTGAGATCCAGCACATCTCCTACCACAACAGACTTGAAAGTGCAGGGAAAACTCATGCTATGAGCAAAATTTATTAACCTTTCACCGGTCTCGTCAATCAGATGCTTTGAAGAGGTTCCTACAGCGGTTATCTTCAGAAGCTCAATCTGGCGGTCATAACATGATGCCAGCGCTTGCATTAGGATCGTCCACTGGACCCCGGAGCCTATGTTGATATCAATCACGTGAACGTTTTTTGCATCGGCTACATTTTCCACAATCGCCTGCACTCCTGCGAATTGCATCACCTGCACAAACGGGAGCTTTTGATGATATGCGATCTGGCTCTGCGTTGGGTTCATCGTTTGTGCATGGGAATCAGGTTTCTGTCTCTTTCCACAGGTGTTTACTGCGATTCTTCCACTTCCTCGATCGATCCTTTCACGCAGCGCCTCAGCAAAGTAGAAAACTAGCCTTTGGATCGGATTGCCCTTGTTCGAGCACAAGTAGTCGCACTGGTTCAGCAACTTGCTCGCCCGATGGAACTGCTGATAGTACACTTTCTCCGCTGCGAACAGAAGCAGTTCTACTAGCTGTGCGTCCTCCTTCTGCTGATCGGAGAGACCAGAGAAAGATGACCCGTATGGGTGGCTTAAAGTCGCGGGCGGATCGCCCACTGAGGAGGTGGTCTGGATGAATTTAACTCCAGCTAACCTGATAATTTCTTCGGTCGACAGACTTGGCTCTGCGAGTCCGTTCAAAGTGGTATTGCTGCCAGGCTCGACGATCTTCTCCCCATCAAGCTTCTTCAACCTGTGTTCGTAGCTCTTGAGGAGCTCGAGGGAGGCCAGCGAAAAGGGGTGTTGCTTTTCCTTCTCATCTTCACTGTGCTGGACTCCAATTGGCTCCGACCCAAGATTCGCAATCTCCTTCAAGCACGTTTGGAGTGAGGGAGAGTCGAATTCGAAGTTCAAGTCGTCGAGCAGATCATGAGCAGGAAGCGGATATACCTTCTGGTTCTGCTGTCGGTATTTCGAGAAAACGAAGTTCGACTCCAACAAATTGTCCTGATAGAATCCAAAATCAGAGTTGAGAGTCTCACCGAAAGAAGAGTCTCTCCAGTACTCTTCTCTATTGTGCTTGCTTCCATTTGTTCCTCCCACAGCATCATCAAACTCATTGTTGGAACCAGGATTTTCTCGGATTCCAACAGGATCGATCGCCCCGAAAGAGAACATAGTAGACGTCATCTTGAAATGCACAAGCAGTTCAAAGGCCTATCTCAAGTATATACTCTAGGGACTATAGGAAGAATAGAAATATCATCGTTGGTTCACACAATTGGAAGAAGATTTTTCTTTTCGACCCCGCAACTCTTTGTGCATTAACTAACTTTTTCCGGCTTATATAACGAAGAAAACGTTCACACCCAGAAACATCAAGTACGTTCCTTTTGACGTCGGCATGTCGACAAAATCAAAGACCGGCCTGACCCGCGACGCGATGTGGTGTGACAAGTTCAGTGCGCTGCTCGAATTCATGTTCGGCTTTACGAGACCAAGACAAATATCTTAATACCCCAAAGGACTCAAACAAGAACTAGAATCCAAAGGGCGCGTCACGGACTCCATCAAAACGAAGCATTCCTGGAATAAATAAATCTCCTCAGAAGTTCAGCCAAAAGAGCCAGGACAAACATAGGCCGATGGTCATGAACGATCAACAAATCACTAGAGTTACACTTGGAGGAAGCAACCTGGGAGGTCACAAGCTTACAAGGTTGCCTGCAGATTTCTAAGAGGTTCATCTTCTCCAAAGAAACATTGTGCAACGCTTGTCAGCAACACCCGACACTTCTTGTCCGTTCGCTCCATTGTTTATTCGAACTCACGTCAGGTGATTTGTGAACATGCAGATGAAACGAGGCAGGACCACTTCACCGAAAATGGTGTCTTCTCGTTCGCCCTTGTTTGGTCGGCACTCGTCAGTCAAGGATATATAACTAGTGAGAAAAGATGATCATGTTTATGTTTCCTCAGTTTGATTTGGTCAAGGAATATTTGCAAGAAATGTTTGCGAGACCCGATCAATGGACCGCGGCTCCTAGATAGGATTCATGAAGAGCTTTACATGGTTTCGTTTTGGCCATATGGCTTGTTTTCCTGACCGAAGATAGAGCACGCCAATTGACGAAAGTGGAGAAAATAGTCTAAAAATTTATTGCATTTTTACTAATTCAGTCTTAAATTTTTTAATTATGCTAATTGAGTCCTAAACCTTTTACACGTTTTGTCAATTGAGTCCAACTAGCCAATTTTGGCTGGAAATCGCTGAAGTGGACGTTGGCCATTTTACTTGGCACGATTGACGCTGACATGAACAATTTTGATAATATTTTTTCAAATTTTATTTCCTTTTCTTCTCTTTTCCTTCTTTTCTTTTTACCTCCGCTGGCTATCGCTGGCCTCGTCAATGGCTAGCAGGTCGCCGACCTTAGGTGAGGGCTGCTCTCGCCAGATCAAGCAAGGGTCACCCTCGCTCGGGATGGTGAAGGCATCCCTCACCAAATCTGGTGAAGGGCTGGCAAGGGCCTGTTGCCGGCCATTGATAAGGCCCCGCGATGGTCAACAAAGGAAAAAAGGTAAAAAGAAAAAAGAAGAAGAGAAGAGAAAAGGAAAAAAAAAAAAAAGGTAAAGAAAGAAAAGAGAAGAAAAGAGAAGAAAAGAAAAAGGAAAAAAAAGTAAATAAAATATTTTAAAAATATTAAAATATTATAAGAAATTGTCCATGTTAGCACTGGCCGTGCCATATAGGACGGCCAGTGTTCACTTCAACGATTTCTAGCCTAAATTGACCAGATTGATCGAATTGATATAAATGTAATAGGTTTAGGACTTTTTTGGTATTTTTTTTTTCCATATTTTGGAACTTAAGGAACTATGAAAGTAAATAAAAAAGAGGGGAACAAATTAATAATAAATAAGTACATAAAAATGAAGTAGAAGAACCCATTTTCGATTGAGCAAATGCAAACTCGAAAATGATCCTTCTTATCAATTCACGACATTCATTAAATACTTACCGACTTCTTGCTTTGTAGAGGTTGATACTCCAAATTGCCCTCGGGATTCAAAACTTTCCCACCCATCGGAAAATAAACTAATCAACATTATTACTACGTAGCTTCTAACACGTCTAGGAGTCTACTGAATTATTACGTAGCAAACCCATCGAAATATATACTAAAGATGATCTCATACCCGCCAAATCTACCGCAAGAATGGAAAATATGACTTTCGATATGAAATCACTAACCGATAGATCAGAGATGTATTGCTAATGAGTCTAAACTTCTTCATTCCTGAGTATCGAGCAAGCATCCGTATGTTCATGCAATGGTTCAACAACGGGCTGTCAAAAAATCCCGACCCGGACCGGCCCATTCGACCATCACGTGGCTCCAATCGAACCAACATCGCAAGCTGCCAAACGATACATGCAAATGAGTGGCCAAAGAGAACTATCATATCCATACGCATGTGATCCGAGGCATGTAATCAAGAAAATCCAAAGCACGTGATATCCTCCTCATCTTCATGCATATTAACATAATACAAAATTGATTTAATCTGCCATGTTCCTCTATATGGAATATCTCGAGATGGTCGGTGGGATCTAATTGGTGTGAAGTACATTTGACAAGACCGTATGACCTTTTCAAGTTCGATGGAGATGCTATTGGGGCAATGGCGGGGACGTGCATGACAGGGGATCTACTTCTGCTCTCAATTCGGGGTTGGGATCGTGCTTCGATTTGGAATTTTACATAGGTGATTCGAAGTTATGAGAACATAGTGCACCCGGTCCCTTTATGTTGGTGAATTCCATATACGACTCACATAATTTGAGGATTGGGATGTGCTGGATTCGCATGTGCCGGTACACCCAAGAATATCTCAACGGCTTATTTTATAAATAGAAAATTGCATGCAGTATTTGAATACCGAGCAAGCAAACTTTTTATGGGGGTTCTTGATATTGATCATGAGAACATGGAGATGATAACTCGATCTGATTACATCGAATGCTTAACTTCGTTCGAACATTTATAAGTCATATGTCAAATTCTGGGCTCCATGTGATGTTGGGCATGTGTGGTATCTCAAATAGAAAACTCTACGATGGAGGATGCCTATCCAATGAATAACCTCATCTCTTTGAATATAGGTTTATAAGGCGATATTAGTTAACTTGAAAAACGGTACCTACTTCCACCATGAGAGATTGTTCAGCCACGGGAAATACTCGCTTGAGTTGAGTCTATAGACTCGAGGCCCGAATGTCAAGTTTAATATATTGTCCGAACCTACCCGTCATGTAAAATCTACGTAGAAACTTTTGGGCTGAGCTCGAGTCGGGGCAAAAGATGGGCGATCCAGGCCTTCTAATCGATACCACCACATCATTTTGAATTAAAAGTGCCAAAATATATGTCTTGAGAGTAGAGTCGACACGAACCCCAGAAGAATCTTGTCTATACAAAGTCACGAAAACAATATAGTAACGTGAATGTGAAAATCACATGTCGAGATCATTCAAGATTCATTATTATCGATCATTGCCATTTATCGCTTTTGCTACTAATGATCATCTTAGTTTAGACGATTACAAAGAGAACTCAAGTAAGGGAGAATAACTAAATTGATCCATGAATTTTAGCTTAATGTGCAACAGGGTCCATAAACTTTACCCTAATGTGTATCAGGGTCCCTAAATTTTTAATTTATCTAACGTGGTTCATGAACTTTGGGTACATGTTCAGTTTAGTTCCTAAACTATATAAAAACGTTCAATATTATTTGTGGATGGATAAGATTGAACATTTTCATAAAGTGTAAGGACTAAATTGAACATATACCGAAATTTCATTAATCATATTGATTAACTAAAAAATTTATAGATCATATTAAATATTAAATTAAAGTTGAGGAATCTTATTGTACACGATGCATAGTGAATCAAAAGGTCGGTCAGGAACCATCCCGTCATTTTCCGAAAGAGTAAAGCGAGGCCTATGGAATAGATAGAACAGAACAGAGTCTCTCTCTCTCTCTCTCTCTCTCTGAAACTGGAGCCATCTCCGGAGTCTGGACGAGGACCTCGTTAAATATTCCAACTCTCCACGTACACTCCAAAACACACCCTCTCATGTGCTCCGATTCTCCACAGCTCGCGAGCTCCTAAACCCTAACCGCCTCCTCTCCGCGGCGGATCCTCCGCGATCCGATGGCGTTCTGGTGGCCCCTGCTCGTCCTCGCGCTGGCCTACGCCGTCTGCCGGTTCCTGCTGATGCTCATTCCCCCCAACGTGCCTTCGATCGAGGTCGACGCCTCGGACGGTAACCTTCTCTCCACGCGCACGGCCTTTTTCTTCCCGCTCGCTCTGCGCTCGTGATCCGCGATCGTCGCGCGCTTTTGCGATTTGCTGAATGTGCTCGCGGCGTGGGGAGCGATTGAGTGACGACGTTTTCGTTTTGCTGGATCGTGGCAGTGCTGGACCACGGCGGTCAGGCTCGGGACGACAGCTTCATCTACGTAAGTTCGTGGAAATGCGGGTTGGTTCTTTGGTTGATTTGTGTGAGGTTTTGTTGGAATGCGTCAGATGTCCGTCGCTGGAGGTGTTGTTGGACTTGCGAATGCTGGTGATTGGCGCGTAGAGTGAAGTCTGTCTTATTGTAGAGGTTGTTGTCGGCTGGCGCGATCTGGATTTACTCGTCTCCGACCGGTTCATGAATGGAAGCTTATGAAATGCCGGTCGTATTTCGCTTTGTTTACTTCGAAATGCCATTGGCGCTATGACTGGACTTGTAGTTTGGTACTTGTAATGCTGCTGATGGATGCATAATAACCGGTATCATTTTATTTCTTCTTTGTCAGTTTGTTTGTCTGATACTTGTTCTAGAACAGCTTCATCTATTTGCCCACGCGTGTAAATATTTTCATAAAATTTGTGGAGCGAATAATTCAACAAATCCGTTGTCTTAGGTGCAGTGTTGCTTGATGAGCACTTATAATTTTGCTGATACTGCAGAGCCTTGGGGCTAATGTTTCAGTTGATTTTACATTTTTCTCAGCTCATTTGTTCTGCATCGATTGGTTGTAGAGTTGGTGAAATGTCTGTAATTAATCTTCAGCAGCTGCTGAATGCATGAGCAACAACTGGCGTATATCGATGGATTATTTCTCATGAATAAATGGCGTTTATTAGTGTTTGCCGTTTCTGAGCAAGAAGTTCCCTCAAAGAATGAAAGAACCTTCTGATCTATTAAAATATCCAAAATTAACAAATTGCGATTTACTTGCCGTAGAGCTTGTGAAACATATATGATTTTCTTACCGCAATTGCTGAATGCATAAACAAATGCATTCTACTGATGTATCGCTTTTCTGGCTGTTGGGAGGACTCACCATATGATTATCTAAAATATGTTTTCTCTTGCGAAACTATGGGAAGCGCTCTCGGAGTATAGGAAGGAAGCTTCTTGCCGGGTCTCTTTTAATCTCTGATCTTCTTGCAGATTCCTCCTAGGGGAAGGACACAGCAAGCTGATAGGAAAGTGCAGTGCTATGAACCTGCTACTATGAAATATTTGGGATATTTCCCAGCGCTCACGACAGCTGAGGTTGGGGCCTTTTAATGCAATCTTACTGATTAATACGTGGCAGTGCAAAAGTTTTGTCTTGCAGCTATGGCTTTATTTCTCATCTGATCATTGTAGTTTTTGAATTGGATTTTTTGACGTTTCTACTAAATTTTGATGGAATCATACTCCCTTTTAGCCTGTCTGACACCTTTATGTAAATGCTTTGGTTTTGTTGTTTCTCCTTGAGGGGAGGAGGCCTTTATCCTCCTCTTAATTCATTATGAAAGAATTAAACTAATACCGATGATATTGGTGCTGCGATTAATTTGCCTTAACCTATCTTACATTCAAGTGATACCATAGCTTCTACCGGCCTTTTCATTTGCTGATACGGCAGGAAAAGTAAGTGATTGGCTTATCACTCCAAGATATATTTCCTGTTAAGTGAATATACGTGGATTATGTACTCCTACTTTTGGAGTAATCTATCATCAACTGTTGCCAATTTTTCAGTCAGGCAGTCTAACTGATGAAATATCAGAAAACTTTGTGATGTGTCAGCTTTTTCTATGTCTGCATGCCATGCTTTGTAACAGAAATGTTCGCGAACTCATCTTATCCCTGATATTACATTTTTAACTGTTGTGTATATGTATTCCCAGGTGAAGGAGCATGTTGCCCAATCAAGGAAGGCGCAGAAAATATGGGCAGAAAGCAGCTTTAAGCAAAGACGTCAGTTTCTACGGATGCTCTTGAAGTATATTATTGATCACCAAGAGCTTATCTGCGAGTAAGGGCAAAAGCTTACTTATAAGGAAAGGAAGTCATTCCATGAAGCGCATGCATCTGTCTTAATTCAGGCTAGAATTTAGATGGTGTCATCCTGATAATCGCAGAATTTTCACGTTTCTGTTTGAGGTTCATGCTTCGAATGTGTGCATTGAGAAGAAGAGAATCCCAACCAACTGTTTATTGCTCGTTAGAAGACATGACTCCAAAGCATCCCTCATTCGAAGCATTAGATTAGGAATACTACGCGTTTCATCAGCACCCAGATGATCTATCTGTGCATTACATTTTGTGGGTTCTTCTGACCTGTCCATATGGTTCTCTGTGACTGTTCATTTTGTGCTGAAATTTTATTTCTTGTGCATGCTCATCTTTAAATACTTTCTATAGGATTTCATCACGTGACACTGGAAAGACAATGGTAGATGCTTCATTGGGAGAAATAATGACGACCTGTGAGAAGATCACTTGGCTTCTTTCAGAGGGTGAGCAGTGGCTAAAGCCTGAGTACAGGTAAATACACGAAATTTATCTTGTGGAAAGTGGAAACTTTCTGTGAACTCACTTGGTTTTACAGTGAGCTTCATGTCTCTCTTGTGTAGTGGCAGAACTAAAGCGATTTATTTTACAGCTTTGGCACATCTCCCTTTTCTCTGAAACCAATGAAAATGGTCTGTAGTGTTGTGGTTTTAGTTCCACTGATAATCCTCAATTTTATCAAGATTGCGAAATCCTTGAAGTTAAATGGCCATATCAGTTCAAAGAACCAATACATGGTTTTGATCTTCTGTAGATTCGTTGCCAACTTATAAAAGCATATGCTGCGGATAATCTGATTGATTGCAATTCTCATAGATCCTCAGGTAGATCCATGCTTCACAAAAGATCCAAAGTGGAATTCTACCCTCTTGGTGTTATAGGAGCAATTGTCTCGTGGAACTATCCTTTCCATAATATCTTCAATCCAATGCTGGCCGCGGTATTTTCAGGAAACAGTATTGTAATCAAGGTGCTTTATATTGGAGAACAGAGTTTCGGTTTATTTGCTGCATACAATGGCTTGTGTAGTTGCTAAATTGGAATGAATTTTGAATGCATCATTTTTCGCCAGAATTTGGCTGTCCGATTGAAAGCAACGTGCTTCTTTATGTAGGTTTCAGAACATGCTAGTTGGTCTGGATGTTTCTACTTCCGGATAATTCAAGCAGCCCTGACTGCTGTAGGAGCTCCTGAAAACCTGGTCGATGTAATAACAGGGTATAAATTTTGTTGCGTCGTACATTCGTTTTCTTCCTCTGGCATAGCATACTTAACCTCAATGAGATCTTTGCAACAGGTTTGCTGAAACAGGAGAAGCATTGGTATCTACAGTTGACAAAATCATTTTTGTTGGATCGCCAGGTGTCGGGAAGATGGTATGAACTCTCTCAAAGAGAGTGCATCCTTGTGACAGTCTTAGTACTCGTGCAATTAATTTATGGCCTGTTGGCATCTCCATGTCTATTGTTCCTTTTGCGCTAGCAATATTTATTTCATCTATTCTTCCCTAAAGAATTAACTCCATTATACAAATGTATGATGTAAATCGTTTTGTTGATACTTCAGATGACCTAGACTTCTTAAGTATATCTGCAGATCATGAGCAAAGCTTCTGAAACCCTGATACCAGTAACACTCGAGCTCGGTGGGAAGGATGCGTTCATCGTCTGTGAAGATGTTAATGTTTCTCATGTATGAATATGCTTGACTTTGATTCTTTTTTGTAGATTGGTAGGTCTTTGCATTGTTTGCACAGTAGTTATGACATTTGATGCCCTGCTGCTTAGGCTAACAGTAAAGTCTATTCCCAATACAGGTTGCACAAGTAGCTGTCAGGGCTGCTCTCCAATCAAGTGGACAGAATTGTGCTGGAGCTGAGAGATTCTATGTCCACAAGGACATCTATCCTTCATTTGTCACTCAAGTATCAAAAATTGTAAAAGCAGTTGCAGTTGTAAGTAGGCTGACTTGATTTTTGGAAGATATTTTGTCTACAGTTGGGAGCAAAGTCTTTATCGGGGGATATTGGTTCACTTGCCTTAATAGATTCTTTCAACATCATGGTTGTCAGTTGTAGGGTGTATCTGCTTTCACATATGCTTCCTTACTGCATTTCATTAGCAGCTTTAATTTTATCTTTGTGAGATTTTGTGGAACCACTGCCAACTATTCTAAAAACTTAAGCTGTTAGATGAATGCGTGGTTTATTATTTAAATATTGTAACACTCCCCCTCATGTTTAGTTTGATCTTTTTTTTTAGTACTAAGTGTGGAACTATTTAATTGGGAGGCAAATGGGGCCCGGAAAGATTTGAACTCAGGATTTCTAGCGTTGATATCATGTGAGATTTTGTGGGACCAATGTCAACTATTCTAAAAGTTTAAGCTGTTAGATGAAGGCGTGGTTTATTATTTAAATATTCTAACAATCTTTAAACACTTGGCATGAAATTTAAAGCAATAATCATTCAGTCAACTCATACTGCGAGTCCGTTCATATAATAAATGCACGTGGATTGTATAGTACAGAAAAGATACTCTCTATTGCTTGTTGATAAAACGTTGTCAATCCTGCTTTTAATTCTTATCATGCGAAAGCTCGTTGTATATGGTTTTTGTAAACACATTTCTCTTGCTAAAAGCATATAAACTGGTGAAATATAAAGTGCTTCAAATGCAATTAAACAAATACTGAAGTTTCTCTTTGCAGGGCCCACCACTTGCTGGAAAGTATGATATGGGAGCCATTTGTGTGCAAGAGCATTCTGAAAAGCTTCAAAACCTTATTAATGATGCATTAGACAAAGGAGCAAGTATAGTCGCTCGTGGAAGTTTTGGCAACTTAGGTACAGATGCGGTTGACCAATTCTTCCCACCCACTGTGATTGTAAATGTAGATCACACTATGAAGTTAATGCAGGAAGAGGTAATTAGTAGCAGTTCTTGCTCTCCCTACATGGCATTGCATATGCACGTGTTGGTGAGTGGCATTTGGCTTGGTAATTGATTCAGAAATATTGCTTCTATTTTTAAGTCGTCGTTTATTTAGCTTGAGCAGAGGGATATGTTGATGCGTTCATGCTCCTAATTGGTGAACTTTTCTCAATTTATGACAATTACTGGGTCTGTAATTACAAAGCTCTGTGGAATGATTAATGAAGTGCATTATTCTTAGTGCCGGCATCAAAATTGGGCAGACCCTTATACTTTGAGAATTCGCAGAAGATGTAACTAATTTATAAACACAGCAAAGTTCTTCACTGTTTTATTTTCCATGTTCTGAAAATGTCCATGCTTTGCATGGCGAAGTGCTTGCTAAGTCATGTGAGTTTGGCTGCACAGGCTTTTGGACCTATCATTCCTATAATGAAGTTCAGTACAGACGAAGAGGCTGTAAAGCTCGCCAATGACTCTAACTATGGACTGGGTTGTGCCGTTTTTTCTGGCAGTCAGAAACGGGCTAAAGAAATAGCCTCTCAGATACATTGCGGAGTTGCTGCTGTCAATGACTTTGCATCATCTTACATGTGCCAGGTGATACTCTGACCCGAATTTTTCTTTTTTGATTGGTAACTTGATCATAGGTCTCAAATTAATGACGTACTTATCCGACCTACAGCTGAGGTGGCTCATTAAACAATATATGTGATGATATTCAGTTGGCAGCTCTTTTACTGATGCAATAACATAGTACAGGAGATGCCTTTTCCTTTAGATAGGATGGGGTAATGGGGGACACCTGCTGATCCTACCTGGCATGAGCTTTGCTATCTCTACCTGCAAGTGCACCATGCGAAAGGGTGGGTTTGAAAAAGCTACTAACACCGCTGCAGCCTTTCTTGGGACACAATTGCTCACATAGTAGGATAGCATCCTCAAGGGAGTTGTCTTGACGTGGCCCTAGTTTCACTTATGAACAGGGGACGAAAGTTGGTTTACACGGATATTGCTACCAACGATTCTCGCAATCGTCGGGTTTAACCATAGCTGCCCTCGGCATTCTAGTCCCTTGCAAGAATAAACAGCTTTTCAACTGGCGATTGATATCTTGTTCAGGCACATTAAGCGAAAATTGTTTGAAATTTGCAGTCTTTGCCATTTGGCGGTGTAAAGCACAGTGGATTCGGAAGGTTTGCCGGCGTTGAAGGACTGCGAGCTTGTTGCCTTGTGAAGTCGGTTGTGGAAGACAGGTGGTGGCCATTTATCAAGACAAAAATACCAAAGCCAATCCAGGTAAAAGGGGAAACTCTGCATCCAGATGATGGTGAGTCTGCTTCCCTATCCACTCGCTTGACTGTGCTCTCTGCCTTATTACAGTATCCCGTTGCGGAGAACGGCTTCGAGTTTCAGGAGTCCCTTGTGGAGATGCTCTATGGTTTGAACATTTGGGATCGTCTGAGAGCACTGGTCAACGTCCTGAAGTTCCTCACAGATCAAAACCCTTCTAGCAGTAAGAGAAGTGACTGAAACTCTGCAGAAACTTGGCAAGGTAAGCGGGCAGGAAGATAGTCTTTTGGCCCACCGAATGAAAGATCAGATTTTGACGACTCCACTTCACTCTCTCCTCTCCCTTGTGCATTTCTCGGTGAGTGCAGGGCTCTTTCCTTGTTTTTTCAAAAATGGTATGGCAACGACCACAAAGGAAAGAGATCAAAGGACCGTTCGTTTCCTTTGTGCGGTGGTATCCCAGAGATTAAAGCCTTGATTTGACGGATGTACATGTGTACTTGAGGGGGAAAGAAAAGAGACTTTACTCACTGATTTGGACCCCCTTTTTGTTGCATGAAAATCTTGGTTCAAATGTTTCATTGTCTGCTTAGTGCGCGCTGGATAGAACATAAATTGAGCCCCGGGCTCTGGGTTCCACAACCAGCCGGCTGCGTGGACCCAAGTCCGGGATGCAGGTCCAGCCCTGGGGATCCCCGAGTCCAAATAGCAAGGGCCGGGGTCCAAGCTACAAGAGCCCCAGGACCGTGCTATGAGGACCGAGATTTAAGTGCTAACGATCACGAGGTTTTGATGTTGGAGACGCGGGACCAGTTGCAGGTCCGGGTTTTGGATCTGAGCATTGTGTACGCCATCAAGAACCTTGGTTCGGCCCATAAAAAAGACCCAATTCCAAGCATTACTATCCGGGTGCTGGGGACCTCCCAGTACGAGCTGCAGGGACCCAGTCCGATTGAGGACCCATCAGGGACATGGGGAACCCAAGTCCGACAATTGGGGTTCTGGGTCCATTGGCTGCGCACTCGGAATGGCCTTATGATGGTGGACATCACGTTGCATCAACCTATCAAATTAAACACGAACAAGCTTGAGCACGAGCTCGAGATGAGATGCAAATAGCTGGAATTCAAGCTCGAGTTTAAGCTCGAAATTAGATGAGTTCAATCCGAGCGAGTTAGGCTTTAATTTGACTCAATTTCTCCCCCTACACCGACAGTCAAGCTCCCGTGAACAGTTCTAGGCCAGGATTTGGGTCTGGACACACTGTTGGACCGACCCTATACTCGTTTACCAGAGCAATCCCATCTGCTACTGGGATCAAATCAAGAGAGAATTTGAACGTAAAAGGTACACACGGTGACACGATGACGAATCGCTATAGCATACTTTCATAGAGAGTCCTTCGACTGGAGTTTTGTATCATATAAGACGAGTACACTTTCTAGTTAAAGAATGATAAATTATCTCTGGTGGGCAAGTTGTACCTCGGACGCTAACCTTCGACGCCAAAATTCATTTGCGCGTGGATTATTCATCCTCTGGAGAGGCATCAGTCGCATCTCAACGCGCCAGTGATCTCCCACTGAACCGTGTCGGATTCGAGGGAAAGACTAGTGCTCAATCCATAACCGTGTCTTCCACAATTCACTACGGCAACTATGAACTTCTCATTCTCAAGCGACGAAGGATATATTAACTGTTCATCCTGCGAAAGACAGAATCAGAGTTAATGACTGTTCATCGTAAGTTCCCGCAAACTCAGAGACCTCTGTTAAATGGTTTTAACTCCAGCGGACACACAAGAAAGAAACGTTAATGGAGTTACAAGCTGGAGCTGTACTGTCATGCATATGAACAACCTACGAAACTTTATGCTTGGTTCTTTATTAGCTTCGGCGCAAAATTGTGAGACTGACCGCAACTAATCTCCATGCTTGCTGAGAATAAGGCCTCTCATACACGGAAAATAAGAATTCGATTCCATAAGGTAATACCGATTACCTCAGGCAGCCTGTCAAACTCATCCGGAGTTATCTGTAGCAGCTCTGAAGCTGTTTGACCGGTACAAGACGCGAAGATTTTCCCTGTCTCGTCCGCCAAAACTATTCTCACGGAAAATGTGCTGACGACCTCGAAATCACAACCGCAGCGGCAGAAGCTGCATTCAAGGTTCCCGGTGGCCATGGGGGGGGTCTTTCTCACGAAATGGCCGCAGCAGGCATGTGAAAGTCTCACATCGATTTGACAATGTTCGATCTGGTCCAGCCAGACCTTACAAATCTGCGTACGTGGTTGGAAGAAGAGGAAATCGAGAATCAACAAAGTTGTCTATAAGTACCGAGATATTCACCGAATAAATTGGCACGAGACGCAGCTTCGCATCCCACGACAAACATAAACATTCCATCTAATATGGGTGTATCCGATACACATGCTTAGGGAAAGATGGTGCCGGGGGAAGAAAATAAGTTCTTACGTACGGACATATGATCGTATGTCATTCACTTGGAACAGCATTAACACGATATTCAATCTTTATGAAGTGACTGTTACTTGTATGTTAAGTTTGATTTTAAATTACAATAGTGAATATTTAGAAACTAATACATAATGAAAGTCAAGGTCATTAGCAATCTTGTCAAACTTTTTCCATAGTTTGTTACATTTTTTTTTCAGTATTGAAAGTGACGTTTCGCTTGATTAACGTCTCAACAAGCCATAAGAAGAGCTCTGAATGGGAAAACCTTCACCGGCTAAACCAAAATTTTCTGGTTATGAAGATTAAAGAACTAAAGATCACTTTTGGCAACAGATCCAGAGAAACCGGACATGCAAATCTTTCCAAGTGAGTTTTATCATTTCCAAGTCTAAATTAGTGCAAAGAAATCTTACCTGTGTGGAGCTACAATGGCTAGAGAGATCGGAAACGCATGATAATCTGTGAAGACAGGAGGAGTTCAGCATTGCTGGCAAGGAGCTAAGATTGACAAGAGAAGCTCTGCCATCATTCTCAAACCATAATACTTCAAGGCTGCACAGTGAAGTTTAACAGACATGTAACTTCCATTGTAGCATCACAAATAAAATTTACACTTAGTAATTTAATAGGGCTTTTTCCTCCCTTCAGCACGCTTAAACCAATATAAATGACAGGTTTCAACGTGCCTACCGCTTATTTTTGGTCATTGAGCATGTCAACCTGGAGATATAGATAGTGTGACCACAGCTTAATCTCTTCAGAGACCTGAAAATTGATAAATTCTTGCTGGGTAAGACCTGAAAGACAATTTGCTTATATAAATTATCGACAAACCCTTAAAAGTCTGATAGCATTACCAAGACTTTGAAAAATGCAGTCTTGCCCATACAGCACCAGTTTTGTCCTCAATGCGCAATGAGAAGATCACACCTGACGTGTTAACTTCTTTATACATGTCTGTAACAACCCCACACAGGCTGATACCCGTCATCTTGTCACGGAGGTCTATTACAAATGACTGTAAAATTTCGTGAGTTCAGTAATAGTTTGATACACAGAAATAAGCCGAGGATATTACTGATATCAGCATATCATATTTTGAAGACTTGGACAAAAGTCTCTGTGTGTGTGTGTGGGTACCCATGACATGTTTTTCATGATTAGCTTGTCATTGGGAATCTTGATATTATAATTGTCATTATCTCAGAAATGCAAGCACTTCAAAAAGAGACTAAAGTTTGTTAGCAACTACTGAAAGCATGCATTGGATTTTGTTGTCTATTTGTAAGAAATTGCATTTTGAATGATTCAACATCTGAGTCTACTATTCAAGTGTGCATAGGTACATGACATGTACATTCAGCTATATGGATGATCAACTCATCTCAGTATAATGATTTTGATTGGCATCATAGTACCTGAGTTGAAGAGACAATTACAGGGGGGATAAGCCTCAGACAAGAAATAAAGCGATGATATCTGATGCTGATTAATGTAACTTACATATTGTCAATATGCAGTTCGAGTATTAACCCAATGCATCCATCTATATGCTTCAAAGAACCTCCTCAGAGGGATCTTCTTGATTGAAAGGGAAAAAAAGGCAGATGCTAAGATGGGAAATTTGGAAAAAAAAACAAAATCACCTACTCTTTCACAATAGCATAGACACCCATAAACCCTGAAGTCATGTGAGAGACCCTGTTTGATGGCTTACTACGAGTAACATTAATAACACCCCAGCAAAAGAAAATAGTCATTGTTGGAAACATTTAAGAGTCCTACTTAATGAAACCTAAATCAATAGAAAATACTCACTTGAAAAGGATAATTAGTGAAGTCAATTGATCCCTGAGAATCACATGGCAAGGTTACTTGAGAAACCATTTGGCTCTGAGTAGGATCTACTGCAGCCAGCAATCTTGATCCTTGACACCGATTTTGTGACAATGATACATATACCTGGTCGGCATCACAGTTATTTTGTTATTATTGAAGGCAACTTTTGTAGTCGAGTTAAAGCATTCATGGTCCAGTACATACTTGCTCCTCATGCTGGATGAAAGGCACCAAATATAATTGTGTGGCACTGCCATATTCAAGACACAGTTCTGCTGTTTCAAGAGCACTCTCGATGCAATTTGCAATATATGGCCTATCCAGCGCAATCATGCTTCCGACGCTGACAAAATAGTTTGTGAGAGTAGTGCATCCTCAAAATGCAAAAGTCAATGACATAGCAATGTAGTCAATACCTGAAAAGATTGGCAAGGATAATTTGTTCACCCCATAGGAGAAACTTTAACTTGCTACCATCATTATCGACAAGAGTGATTTCTTTCCTTTGCAAACTGCTCGAGTTTCCTTGAATTTCTACTGGCCCGATAGCTTCGATCCTATAGCACCCAATAGAGCCATACTTGTGTTATCTCACTACATCCAAATTGATAGTTCGATTGATCCAAATGCAGATGAAGTAGTTAATGTTTTCAATTTCCAGTAAACATGATCTTTGTTATAATTCAAAATCCTCAATTCCTTTGAATTTATTGCCAAAGTAAATGAAGAGTGAGCAAAGCTAATCAGTTAGTTGCAGAATAAATGTGACTTCTGTTCTAAACATAGAAAGACAATGCTGCTAGTTTAAACTGACCTCGCATACAATGAATAAGAAACTCCTCTGTTGACTGCATCAAGAGAAATCGAAGCAAAAGAATCTGAACAAAATTGAGCTCCCAGAAGAATAGCATCATCATCCTGGTCCTATTAGAAATTATGAACATTATCACAACAGCAAGAAATTCGGTGCGCATGGATGTGTAAGAGACATAAACAAGTGATAAAGCTCATCAAATTTTTGGATTCCTAGGAAAAATTGCTTTCTGATCTTCTGAGCAGATAGTAAATGCAATTCACCTCATCCAAAAGTATCACTAGGTACTCTGTAGGTAAAAGTCGTGGATAACCAGATCCCTCAGCAACAGTTCTAAGATGGCATCCAGTGAGGAATATCTCCCTCCCTTTCTTCAAAATCCCATTTGGAGGATTCACCAAATCATAGTACCTGTCATAAGAAGCACATGACTCTTATTAGATTTCCAG